GGCCCCAAGACAACTCTTGACCACATGTCGCACAAACGACGCTGCTCAAACTACAGAGGCTGGACTTAGAAACTTTCTGTCATCCACCATATTCACCAGACCTTGCACCAACTGAATACCACTTCTTCCAGGCTTTGGACCACTTCTTGCAATGATAAATATTCAAGTATCAACAAGCTGTGGAAAACGTCTTTCGCAGTTTTATGGCCACTCCCTTTCCAGGCTTCTTTGCTGCTGGCATAAACAAGCTACCGTTGAGATGGCAAAATTGTGTGAATAGTTTATGCACATACTTTGATTAATTGTACTGCTTTTTGTTTGAGTTATAACAAATGAACTTTTGATTCAAAATCAGACATTTCATATTTAATGACCTAACACATGCCCTTAACTCACATCTGTTCACACAGCTCTGTGAGGAGATGAACGCAGAGCACATATGACTTCCCTTATGTGAGATGTGAGAGGTGAGATGGCTTTCTAAAGGTAGATCACTGGCCAGAGCTTTTGAGTTACTAGAGCTGCTCCAGAGATTTCTTTTAGAAAAACAATCACCACTGGCAGAACATTTTAGTGTGCACAGAAGGGGTCATAAAACTTGCTTACTTGTATAACGTATTCAACCTGCTCAATGAACTCAATCTGTCACTTCAGGGGAGAACTGTGTTCAAGTCGGCAAACAGAGTGGCTGCATTCAAAGCCAAACTGGAATTATGGGGGCAATGAGTGAATACTGGAATTTTTGACATGTTTCAAACATTAGCAGAGATTTCGAAAGAGACTGAGCCAGGTTCTTCTTTCTCCCAGCTGGTGCATGATCACCTATCTCAGCATTCAAAAGAGTTTGAGCATTACCTCCCAACCACAAAGACCCCGAACTGGGAAGGAATGGATCTGAGACCCATTTGTGACTAAGCCAGGTGAATTGACTTTGTCCATGCTAGAAGAGGATCAACTGCTTGAGATTGCAAATGATGGTGACATTAAAAGTATGTTTGAGACAACTTCAAATCTCCATATGTTTCGGATCACAGTCAAGGTAGGATATCCTGAGATTGCCACAAAAGCACTGAAAAGCCTGCGTCCATTTCCCACATCCTATCATTGTAAAGCAGGGTTTTCTGCAGTGACAGCAACCAAAACGAGAAGACAGAGTAGACTGGACATAAACAACACACTTCAGGTGTCACTATCTCCAGTCACCCCCAGATGGGACCGCCTAGTTGCAGGAAAACAAGCCCAGGGCTCCCACTGATTCTGCATTATGGTGAATGGTATAATTATTTCATTATTATATTACAATATAATAATAAGAGGAATAAAATGCACAATAAATGTAATGCACTGGAATCATCCTGAAACCATCCCCCCACCCCGCCCCTAGAGTCCGTGGAAAAATTCTCTTACATGAAACCTGTCCCCGGTGCCAAAAAGGTTGCAGACTGCTGCCCCATAGGAACAAGGGTTAGCTGAGCCACTGTGTTATATTAACACAAAGTTTGAAGAAGAGGTTATTTGCTTATTCATCTAAGCCTTAGTTTGTCTCTTAGTTATTTCTCTGCTACACTTTCAAGCTAAGAATGTATTGTTTCTATTTTGATGACTGAATAGCAGAGAAAAACAATTTTCTGTTTTTAGTTAGTGACAGTTCTACACTAAAAGGCACAGTCTTTTTTATTTGAAATTTAGGATTTCAGTGGAATACCTAACTTTCTCAGTTCTGTTGTTACAATTCCTTCAGCCTGCCTCTTTGTTGCTTTTCACCACTGTTCATTTTTTCTGTGTGTTCAGTACGATACGAATTGTTATTTCAAAATCGCATAAGGGTTTTGTTGTGAAACTTTGCCTTCCTAGTTTGATCTTCTATAATATAGGTCAGCACATGTCCCTTCCCTGAGACAATCTGCACCTTACTCCCCCACAAAGGGACATAGCTTGGGCAGGGAGAGCGTGAGAAAATATCACTATACCGCGGTACTAGACACTCATCCGGCAGGTTATTGTAAGTATTATAAGCATTGTATTACCAGAACTTGAATAGCAACAATAACTCATTTTACACCAAAAAAAAAAAAAAAAGGAAAGAAGAGAAAAAAAGAGAGAACTAAAGAAAAACGAGGAAAAAGGGGGGAACTGAAAGAAAAAGCAAAAGCAGGACTTCATTGCTGAAGGTCTATTGTAATTTCCTGCATTTTCCTAAAAAGTTAACGCGAAGAAAAGAAAAGGCAACGTTCCCAGGATTTTAAATCCCATGAGCCCAGAAGCTGTGAAAATCCTGTTTAAAGTCATCCCGTGAAATTGGCTTTGGGACGACGTCTCCCCAGCCACTGGATCATTGGGCTCCTGCATCTTTCTAGCAATCGTCCCGCCGGACGTCCCCTGAGGACACAGCAGCTGGCTAGAGACGCCAGACCGGACTCCTCTAACCGAACGTAGACGTGCAGGTGGAGGGGATTAGGGTAATTCTGGCTCAGCAGCCGCGAACTCCCCCGCTCCCGCCGCGCAGGTGCTCCGCAAGTGACCCGCACGGCCGGGGCGCTAAAAGCCGAGACCACGCAGACAGGGCCCCCTCGTCCGGTACCTAAAGCGTGGCCGGCCCTGCCTCGGGGCGATGCCATCTTTCTTGGGATCTTAGCATCTCCCGAGTAGTTAGTTCTGCATTCTAATCACGCCCCTGCGTCTTCGAAAACTTACCCCAACTTTGCAAAAAGAGGAGAACCGGCTAGTGGGGGACTCTTAATTTTCTCTAAGTAAAACTGACAAAATCAGACGCTATTGACAAGAAACCCAAGACCTCTGGCCCCCCGCCCGCACCCGCCCGCACCCCCGGGTCCCGGCTCGCCGGGTGCAAAGTCGGCTGCCCGCCCAGACCCGCCGCCCGCAGCCGCCGAGACGCGGTCGGCGAGCGCCGCTCGGGCGGCTGCGGGTCTCGGGAGGCTGGTCCGAGCGGGAGCGGGTGGCAGGGCAGAGGTACCCGAGCAACTTACAGCCCAGGGCGACCACCAGGTAGCGCAGCAGCAGCAGCAGGAGGCGGTGGCGGCTCCTCCTCGCCATCTTCCCCGGGCCCGAGCCGGCCGCTCCGCCGCGGTCGAGGGTCCCGGCCGCAGGAGCGCGGGAGGCCGGTGGGGGCCCTTGAACTCTGGGGCGGCGGCGGAGGGGCGGGTCCTGGTGGGATGTCAGTTTCCCGCTTCCCCGCGCGCCTTCCCAGCCGGCAGCCGAGGGCAGGTCTTGCTGCCCCGGGCTGGGGGGCTCTGGGCGGCTCCTTCAGGGGGGCTGGGGTGAGACGGGGAGGGCGTGAAAGCCGGGCAAGGTGTCCGCGGGGTCCTAGTGAGGGGGCAGCAGGAGGCGAGCAGCGGAAGGGACAGCCCTGGCGGCTCGTCCCCCGCCCCCGCGCCGCTGGGATTGATCGGCTTTGTGTCTGGTCTTGCGCGGGGCTGCCAGCTGTCCCCAGGGCCGGGAGCCCGGGGGCGGGGAGCGCGGGCGGGCAGAGGGTGTGCGGGGGATGGCGGTGTGTATGGGTGGGGAAACTCCTGCTTTGCCCCAAGTCCTTTCTTCCCCTCCTTGGCTCAAAAGTTCTTCGGGCTTTTCAGCCTAAGGGTGGAGATTTTTGGAAAATTTCTGCCCAAGGAGCGAAGCTGAAGGGGAGGCGCTCCGACAAGATGAGGTTCGCGGGCTCCACCTCGGACTCGAGAAAAAAATAAAAAATATAGAAAAAGCAACCAAGACTCGTGCTGGAAGTCAGGTCTCAGATTTTAGCGATAGCCTTGGTCTCTTCTCCATTTAGGCTTTTTGCTCCTTGGAGATTTAAGGTGTGTTTTGCGTTCTTTGCTTTTTCAAGTCTCAGAGTGGGAAGTTCATCTAACGGTGTGAAATATTTATCATGTTTCTTTCCAGTTACATAACTGCCTGTGGAGTTTTCCACATGTTAAAACTCTACAGCTGCCCTTTGTCAGGTTTATTTTTGGTCTACTGTGCTTTTAAAAGGGAAATCCATTATGAATGCTCTGTTGTGTACTTTAAAATTGACCCGCATTTATATTGGACAGACTTACAAAGGCTAAACTGGCAATTTTTATATTTGCTCCTAGGGATCAAAAATGTCTGGTGTATTCAAGAGTATTGATGGGTCTGGAAAAAGGACATTCCCAGGAGAAGAAATTCTTATACATCTGTTTTTTTTTTTTTTTTGTAAGGTAGAAAAATGGGCAAAGTTCTGTATACAAGATAGTTGATTTAGTGGTGTACGTATAAAGAATTCAGCTAGCTCAGTGGACAAAGGCGACTAGAGTTTAGCTATGCAGAGCTGAAAGGAATGAGGCATCCCTGCTGTTGCCTTGGTGACAGTGATGAAAGCTTAGTACCCATGGGGGGAGGGGCGAGGACCCAGGGGGCCCAGAAAGGAAAGTCAAAATAACAAAATGTTAGAGCTCATACTCCAGTCAAGCAAGGAGAACAGATTTAACAACAGGCTTATGCCAGTTTTTCTGGGCAGCAGTAAGAAAGATTTGATGCTTAAAAAGAAAAGTTGATGGCATCCTCTTTTTCTCATTCTTGCTGCAATTATATGTCTTTTTTACTCCTCCCTAAAGATACACAAAAAAGGCATACTTGAAAAAAAATTCTGTGACATCCTATGCGAGTAATTGACTCACTCAGTTATTTATTCGCCACCCAGCCAAGGCATTTGTCAAATGACTACAATGTGCCAGATGCTGGAGGACAACAGTGAACAGGAATTGAGGCTTTGCTGTTAACAAGCTCACAGTCTTAAGGAGAGAGAGTCTCATCTGGAAAGATCTCTAATACCACATAATAAATGTTACAGGAGGACAGAAAATAACAGCTGTTTTTATTGCACGCTTTCTCAGTGGGAGAGGCTGAATAATGCAGTATCTAATCTCCCAACAATTCTGTAAAAGAGGAAATGTTATCATTCCCACTTTACAGATGAGAAAACTGGGCTGAGACAGGCTAAAGGGCTTGTCCAAGGTCAATGATAAGGGGATATTCCTTCTATTGGGGGTAGGGAAAGGGCTTTCTTTATTAGACTTTGAAAAATGGGTTAAATTTTGGAAGGCAGGAATTAAAGGAAGGGTATTCTAGATAGAGAAAAGAGCAGTATCAAAAGCTGGGACTTCTAAAACTATGGCTTGTTTAGGAAAAGCAAGGTTCTACAGCACTAGAGCACATGTGGAATTGGGATAGGGGTGGTGGTCGTGGTAGAAACTGAAAAGGAGGTTGGATTATGAAGGTCATTCAATGTCATATTACTGACTCTAGACCTTATTTGACAAGTAATGAGCTTTCTAAAAGCAATGGGATAGGAATATATAAAAAGGCCCATATTTTAGAACTGTGCTGTTCAATATGGTAGCCTCTAGATTCAAGTGGCTCTATCAATTTGAATTCAATTATATTTAAAATTCAGCTCTCCACTCACACTGACCACACTTGAAGCTCTCAATAGCCACATGGAGGTAGGGGCTACCATCCTGGACAATGCAGATATAGAGCATTTCCATCATTGCAGAAAGTTCTACAAGACAGTGCCGCCCTAGAATGATGACTCTTATGGAAATGTAGTAGATGGATTAGAGATAAGAGAATTGGAATGTTAGACAAGTCTAAAAACTATTACAATACTTTGAGAGAGAGATGAAGGTGTGAAGTAAATGGTCATAGTGCAATAAGTGAAAAACCAGGTATTATTAAGATGATATTTCACAAACCTGTTCAGCTGGAGTATGTCATCCATCAGATGTAGAGGTGAGAAAGGAGAAAAGTTATAAGTAACAGCTTTTTCACCTGGGTGGCTGTAGGTGGTGAGTATAAATAGTGTCGTTAACTGAAGAAGAAACGTAGGGACCATACATAGTTGCAGCACCTTTGGGATGAGTTGACAGGTGACCAGCAATCTGTTAGAATGAGAGGTCTAGAGCTCAGGAAACCCTCAGGATTGACTAAAGAAATAAATGTAAGTAGCGGCAGCATCTCCTAGAACACCAATCACCAGACCATCTTCTCCCTTGGAGATCCTTAAATGTGATTTTCTCCTTAAAATTATGTTAAAATCCTGAATCCCAGAAGTTTCAATCCCAGTGACCCCTGGGAAGCTGTATTTTTAACAAGTACCCTGATTGATTCTGATGCAACTGGTCCATGGACTGGTGTTTGAGGACTTTTCTAGAAGCCAGGAGCAACCATGAGAATGAATGAGATCAATCAGATAAAAAAAGTGAATACCTATCTACAGAAAAATCTAAGTAAATAACTGCAATAAAAGGTAGGAAGAAGACCCAGAGAAAAAACACAAGAAAGAGCACTTAACAAATATGAGAGAACTGGCCGGGCATGGTGGCTCATGCCTGTAATCCTAACATTCTGGGAGGCCAAGGTGGGAGGATTGCTTGAGGTTGAGACCAGTCTGAGCAAGAACGAGATGCTCGTCTCTACTAAAAATAGAAAAAATTAGCAGGATGTGGTAATGCATGCCTGTAGTCTCAGCTACTTGGGGGGCTAAGGCAGGAGGATCACCTGAGGCCAGGAGTTTGAGGCTTCAGTGAGCTATGATGAGGCTACCGCACTCTAGCCAGGGCAACAGCACAAGACCCTGTCTCAAAAAAAAAAGAGCGAACTGGAAGAGAATTGGGAACCAATGCTGGAGGTGTTTATAGTGTCACATGCTAAAAAGAGAATTGAGAATGACCTCCTTATATTTAGTAGTTATGAGGTCATTGCCCATTTGGATGATAGAGAAAGCAAACCTCCAAAAAACTTGTAGAAAGAATATGCAGACTTGTGCTTTATACATAGTAAACCAACTAATGCACAAGATATATTTAAAAAATTATTCATGACACTTGTTAAAGATGGATGACAGACCTTATTCAAAGGGGACGACCACGGTGATAGGTATAGCAGGAACCACTGCAATGGGGTTGTGCAGTGGAGGAGAGAGATTGGACTCTCCAACTCCAACAAGGACAAGTGGGGACTTACAACTAAGAAGCAAGGTGGTGGGCAGTAGACGGAAAATTACTAAGAGGAAACATCAGGGATAAGGGGTTTCTGGCTAAACTGACTTGATAGAATTCTTGCTGAAGGCAGGCCAGGGTGATTAGATATCCAGGGTGGTCAGATACCAAAGGTGGGGGATTTTTGATAAACTGACTTAGCAGGATTCTTGCTCAAACTGGATTCTACAAGGACAGAGAGGGAAGCCCAAGGTCAGGCCTAGTCAAGAAGAAGACTCAGAGGAAACTGACTAAAGTTTTGGTCACAGGAAAGAGTGTTTGTTAGATAAAATCAAATAATGAAATTTCAAGTTAAACATTAGCAACAGGATGGTGAAAGAAATAGCGATAGTTAATACTGTCAGGTTTCTGTCTGAAACGTCAGTTCTTGACGTGCTTGTGGCCCAAGAATGACCAGACACACCAAAGTAAGGCAAGCATGAAAATGAGGTTTATTGAGGAGAGAAAAATAGGATTGTAGGGCAAGAGCAAGATATAGGTTTACAGAGCATGATACATATGCCACAGATGATGACCGGCCCCACTGTTGCAGCAAAGGGAGAGCAAAAGGAAGGCGAAAAAAGAGGCTAGTATAGTTTTCGTCTTGTTTTATAATGCCCGGATTGGGACCTCCCTAGTGGCTCAGATGTCACCATGAAACCACTTTCATTGGACGATTGGGAGTTGCATTACTATGTATGCGGGTTGTTCTAGGTCAATTTCCGGACTCTGTGATACCTATGCTGCTTGGCCTGTGGTCTAGAGAGTCCTCTGCATTCTTTTGCAGCTGGCATGCGAAGTTTTGATTGGCAGATTCATAGGGTGTTCCCTCCTCCCCCAGGTATGGCAGTAGCTCAGGGCAGGATCAAGGTGGGGCAGGACCAAGATGGGGGCCTGAGGCCCACCCTTGTCCTTCTTCCCAGGTGGGGCAATTACATCAAAGCAAAGCACCCACTTCCATCCCTAGGAGACCTGGAATCCCTTGCTAACTACCTAACAATACTGCTTCCTTAATGAGCATTTGAGAGCTGGTTTCGTTATCGTTCTGCTTGTAAGAATCCCTGCACCAGGGAGCATGGGACACTGGTAGGGAGGAAGGGGAGGAAGGGGGATGAAACACCACGGAAAGCCCTCTAAACTCTGTTCTCTTCTCCATGATCATCTGACTCCCTTCTTTCTGCCCCACCTACCATAATCACTTTGACTCTATAAGCAGTTTTGTCAGGAAAACA